CATGTCTTAGAAAAAGTATTATTTTAATGTTTTAGAGTTCCTCGAGGGATAAATTCACGCTTTTGTAGCAAAACTCAGTGACAGATGTTTCTGTTGGTTTCCAGCCGCCATGTTGGTGCCCATGCGGATGGGCACAAGCATGGCGTCTCCATACAAATCTCTATAAATTTGGGTAAAAAATATCTCCGCATATCTTGCATAAGAAAAATTGCTGTGACCAGAATCTTGGCGAAAGTCTTTGCATATTTTCCTTCTTTCATTTCCCAGATTCTGGACTTAATCTATCGAACGGTTTTGATTTTTATTTTGATCTATTTTGAATGGCGTGACACTGAAAACCAGCAATAGCAGATGAAATAAACGCTAATCTTGGACTGCAGCTTACACAGTATAATTCTGCAGTGTTTATACGGTTTCAAGTTGAAAGAGATAAATAAAATCATGTTAAACAGACAAAGGCAAATTTATTGAAGTTTCCTTATTCCTCCACAAACTGTGACGGAAACATTGCGTGACATTGTAAAAAAAAAAAAAGAATGAAGTGCGTGACACGACCACATAAAATGTCACGCGCCCACACAAATGCTTTGCAAGTTTTTCTGTAATAATTGTTAGATAATTTTGTTATTTATTTCGAGCTTTCAGTCAGCTTTTCTTATTTTACATATTACGAGTTAAACCCATGAAACCATTAAAATAAGTCGAAAGTGAAGTGAAACAAAATATGATAAAATAAAGTGGACGATGATCCCCGAGTATAATCATATGTTATTATTGTAAAAGAAAAATTGATAAGTCGATGGATATCATTGTTTCATTTATTTGGCATTTAATTTACATCGGTTTCTTTAAAACGAGCGAAAATGATTTTTTCAGTGGAAATCTGTGTCACTAGCAAAATTTAATACGAGGTGACGCGTTTTACATTCTATTGAAAAAGTAACATAATAAAGTAGCTTGAAAGAAATAAAATTATAATTGATTTCCAAAGAAGATGTTAATTTTTTTTTTCGATTATTACTTCATCCGGGCTCTTGTATTCCCCGAAGCCCTGCGGACATCTGGGGCCACCCCGAAGTGAAGCGAGGGGAGCGAGCGGTTGTCGTGGCGAAGTTGAATAGCGGTTGCGAAGTTGCCCTGTATGTTGTCAGCAACAACGAGGGGAAAAGTCTTCTCCAAGGCGACAGTGTAGTCAAGGTTACAAGGTCCTTCCCAGAATTTCCTTCGCGCAATTATACAACAACTGGTATGGTAGAGCTAGATGTAGAGATTGCCGAGTTTTGTTGAGAATTCGTAGCTATTTTCCCACATTGTTACCCGCCTTCGATTTTGTTGGTTTCGCCCGCGTTTTTCGCGTGCTCTGCCAGAGATTTCTTTGTCATGGCGATGGCCAGAAATCACGTTTTATTTGAGCCTCTTCTTGTAGATTATAGCTTTAGAACAGACTGGTGTTATTTGGAAATAGTTTCTGAGTTGTGTTGTGATAAATGCTGCCTTTGCGATGGATTTTACCTCGCGTTAGTTCGCTGTTGCGTAAGTGCTAAATATATGTTGCCTAAAGCGGCGAGCGAATTTCTTTGATCAAGTCGTGTTTACATGTGTATCAATACAAATACAGAAGCCATTTTGTTCCATTTGATCCCTAGATCGCCGTATGGCGACTGCACAACAACCTCAGCAAAACTTCGTCACATCAAACTTTGATTCCGGCGAAGTGAAATCCCAAGCGGTGTCAAGCAATGTGGTTTCAACCCCGCAAGATTTTACACAACAGGTCGCGAGTGTTACTGCCGCCGCCATTTCACATGTAGTTACCTCGCAAAATGTGGTGCCTACGCCTCAACACACTTCTTTACCAGCAAATACTGTCACTTTAACAGTCCAGCCTTCCCAGATACAAACGCCACAAACTACATTAATAACAGCCAACGTCATTTCTGGTGATGAGTTCCAAGCGAAAGAAGGTATAATCACAAATTGATTTGGTGTTGCTAATTTAAGCCCAACTATGCGACAAGTGCACGATCATTTTCGCATTTAAATGTAATACTTTTATCCCTTATACATATGTTGATGCAGCAAAAAAATGTGCAAATTCAGGCTTCCAATGTTACCTTTATTTGCTCGTTTATTTTTTGTTTCACCGTAGGTTTTCCCACGGCAGAAGTACACTACGTCGAGGCCCCGTCGGAACACGGTCTGTATCCGAATGGAAACACGTAAGTTTCTTTTGAAAACTCCTCTTCAAAATCGAGGTTTTCCTAATACTATCTTTGCCGTTCTAGTTTCCGTTTGACTGGTGCGAGCAGAACACTTGCTTTGTTTGGTTCGTGGACACGTTGTGAACACCTGGCTCAGAATAAAGAATCAATGCTAAAACACATGCGAATCGAATAATTGTTAATCGATACGCAAGTCTTTGTTGCAGTTCAAGGCAAAGTACAGTGCTCATGGTTAGCTTCGAATGTGGCCAGAAGAGAATATAATTTTGGCTCTTTTGGCTCTTTTTACCTAATGATATCCCAAGTTTGTCACAAGCTTGAAGAAACTGAAAAATAACGAAAATGTTATTCAAATTAATGTAACATGCATTTTAATTTATGATAATTGTGTTCCATATATGGAATTTCCATAACAATATTGAAAGATTAAATAAAATTGTGTTATTTATATAAAAGCTCGTTTCTGTGCCTCAAAATATTACTTGAGTTTATATATCCAGGAAGGAACTCTTTTTCCAACAGAAGTATTAAGTCTAATATTTAAATTGAGGAAACTTTGATTTCAAACTCTTCGGCAAAAACATCTAAATAAACAGAAACTGTGCTTTGACAATTACCGTAGAAATTTCTAGTTTCTCTTGGATATTGTTTTTCTCATTGCGATGTTGGAACGACCTCTGCATTCATTAGAAACCTTTTGCCCATTGATGGGTCATGTTTATTTAGCAAAGTGGAATTAGTATTCTGAATATAGCATTTTACCGAGGGAGCACACTTTTTTCCATGGCAACCCATGCAGCCTTTGTGAATGAATCAATGAGAAAGAGAATCAATTTTGCAAGTTCAGTTGGCTGGAAGGATCTTCAATAAAGGAGGGAGCTACTTTGTCCTTGCTTTTTACGTTTTATGGCCAGTCTTACCCACATGATGCCTGTCTCGACTTATTTGTGAGTTATTTCAGCATTTTTACAATTTCCTTTCAGTTCTGCTTCAGTTATAATATACATGCATAAGGCCTACCATTGTGAAAATGGTTAGTGGCTTATTTTCATCTGATATTGCACAGAGAAGCTATTCGTTATCAACTTAGTTTTGGTTCCGAGGTTTTGTCTTAAGTTTGTGCATTCTTAAAAATTTCAAGGTTTAGGGTTTTGTTCATGAACTGCTGTGTGGATAAACCTTTAATTCAGGTGGAAGTTATGCTGTTTCAATATGTTTTTAAGGAGAAACATTTGATAGTCTTGAATTACAATATTTCTTCTGGCAAAACTTTGATTTTCTTAACCTTATGCAAGTGTTATAAACTTGTGGTAGTACAACCTGGATAAGTAAACTTACACATAAACTGGAAACAACCAAGTCAATTGATTCGTTTGAATTGAGGCATATTCTTGCTCATAATGTCATGACTCATTCTTTGCATGCCTCTCAGAGAAATTTTAATTTATTTATTGTGGCAACAGGATCTGTGTGTGTGATTATGTTTCTTCTTCAATTCCCTCTGCTTTGTTTGGTGTGAGCTCCAATTCAGTTTTATTTCTGGTAAATTCATCATTAAAAATTAATCAGCGCAACATTATGTTAGCCCTAAGATCCAGAAATAAAGACACACTTGAATATTGTAACTCAACATATATCTTAGTTGCTAGTTCACATTTACTGAAATTATTAATTGTTACAAAATTTCAGGTTATTGTTCCTTTTGTGTTTGTCACTCTGCAATTTTGAAATGCTTTACCCGATTTCTTCATGGTTTAAGCTTAAAGTTAAAACCCCTTGATAGTTTAAGTTTCACACATAAAACATTTCAAGCTTTTCAAAGAAATTCTTGAAGTGCAATCAAATAATATTATACTTCTGTTATTATGCTATACGTGTTAAGAAATATTTTATATTACAATAATAATTATTCTTATGAATTACGGAGACTACAAAGAAATGAACTATATTATTGAAATCTGTAGCAGATTGTGAGCCTGGTAGAAAGTTGAGTAATAATGAAATCCATCTAAACAGATAATTCATCTAGACACTGATGTTACATGTGATAATTGCTAACTTATATATGGAGAATTCTGCCTTTTTTTCTGGACTCTGCAATTGTTAAGCCTCTTGGCAGTGTCTGTGTTGCAATTTGAATTTATCTTCAAACCATTTTGATTTTTACTTTTCCTTGTCTTGTATTCCTTATCATAATCTGAAGCAAAAGGAAATAAAAATCCCAGACTAGTTTTAAAAATTTTAAACCGAAAGTAAATTTAAACCTTGACGTAATGTGTACACTTCGTCTTGACCTTGGTGATGTTTGACTGTGTTTATGCCAATCTTTCCTGTTGTGCTTAAACAAGCATTACAGGATGGTTATGAAAATATTGAACCATCTAGAGATGCATCAAAGTCACAGAGTTAGGCTTTTGTTAGATTTAAACCTTCCAAGCTAGTTATTGAAATCGTCACTTTTTTGTTCTTGATATCCTTCAGGGGCAATGCTTACCATTACAGTGATGGCACGATGTTTGCACAGCAAGCAGGAGCACCTTATCTTGATGCAGGCCAAGCAGCACAAAATTTTACGGCCGCCACGACACCAGGGGCAGTCACAAGTGGACAGACATTCTTACAAGTAACTCCTGCTGGGACAACCATGCAGGCACAGCGACACCCAATAACGCACACAACCAGGGCGTCTCCTGCAACAGTAAGTTCCCTTCTGAAGGCGTTAACACCTTCAGTAAAAGGTCAACTCATTTATCTACAAGAGTGGATTGATCAACATTTAATTTCCCGATGCATCATGAATTGACATAAATTATTTTCATTCCAGCAAATAGGGAACAGAAGTGTAATAACTTACCAACTAGTGAGTCTTGGTGTAACATAAATTATCATAATTCGATTAGATGTAAATCAGTGCGGAGAAGGAAATTAGATTCAGGTTGGAGATTTACAGTGTAGTTTTAGTGAAGTTTCTCTTAGGTTTTCTAGTTATTTAATACATAAGGATTAGGATGGTTCACATGTGGCAAACATTCACTTAAAGTTGGTCATGTACATCATTACATTACATAACATCTCAATAAAAAATAAAAATAAAATAAAACAAAAAATAGTGTAAGAGCATCATTTTATGGATCAGAAGTAACTTTGGGTTAAAATTTTAAATTGACTCTTTAAAAATGTTAGTAACTACATGTATTCCTTCTTGTCCTTGGCTTGTATAATTTTGATTAAAATAAATTAAAATC